TGCATTGCCGGCGGGGTATGTGGGTGGCTCAGTCGTTGGGCGTCTGCCTTAGGCTCAGGTCATGATCCCGGGGTCCATGCTCGGTGGGAAGCCTGCTTCTCCCTCTCCCACTCCCCCTGCTTGTGTTCCTGCTCTCACTGTCTCTCTCTCTGTCAAATAAATATTTTTAAAAAATGCATTGCTGGCATTGCATATTTCTAGTATGGGTATTCTATGGAATCTCAGCTTTTATCAGAAATAAAGATTCCTAAGCAATCTCAAATTGTTTTCACAGCAAAGAAAAAATGACTTAATAGAGTCTGCAGGAGAATATATAAAGGATGAACATAAAAACACAGTTGTATTATCATATATTTGGTATGCAATATGCAAGCAGCAATACTGCTTGAAGGTTTTTTCAGAGTTAGAATATCTTTATAGAAAGGACATCAGGGTTTGGAGACAAGGAGAGTTTTCATCTTGGGTGTTCCACTTACTAGCTTGTGTGACCTTTAGCGACTGATTTCAGTTTACTAAGTATCAATTTCCTGCTTTAAAAAAGGACACAGACTTGGGCGCCTGGGTGGCTCAGTCGGTTAAGCATCTCCCTTTGGCTCAGGTTGTGATCTCAGGGTCCTGGGATCGAGCCCCGCATCGGGCTCCCTGCTCTGCGGGAAGCCTGCTTCTCCCTCTCCCACTCCCTCCCCCTGCTTGTGTTCCCTCTCTTGCTGTGTCTCTGTCAAATAAATAAATAAAATCTTTAAAAAAAAAAAAAAAAAGGACAGACATTGTATGTTCTTGAGAGGATTCACGTATATTACATGGTATGGTGCCTGGCGTGTAACTATATGCTATAAATATAATCTATTATTGTTAGTAATAGCTGTTGTAGTAAAGATTACAGAATGAGAGGGAATGTGATTATAAATAAATATTCTTGGCAAGTTTGTAAATTATATACATTTTCTTTGGTTTATATGCATTTATTTATGATATCTAACTTTTATTATACAGATGTTATTAAATTACTCTTAATGTCAGATAAAATTATTTGGAAACTTGTGGAGAAAAACTATCATGTATATTTTTCATATAGCAATGTTATATAATATTTAAAACCTCCACATATTCAGGACCAAGATCAGGCAGAAATGTAAAATAACACCAAATATAAATAATGAAATTTCTCTTTCTCATCCCGTAATTTAGTCATATATATGTGTATATCTATATATCTATATCTATATATATATAGTTGTTTGTTTTTTACAGAATCTGCTAGTCTTTTTTCTTTGTGTTTATTCTAAGAACACATAGGTTTTATTAATCTTAAATGAGGAAAAAAAGGTTTGTTTTGTTAAGTATTGATACTGTCATTCCTTGGAATGGAAAATGTAAAAACAAATAGATATTTTGTCAGAGGTACAGATTTATTTATAAAATTTATCTACCAGAAGTTGAGTTGTTTCAATTCTCCTCTATCCCTCTGGGAGAGGTTAGAAGAAGAAATTACAATGTTTGTTTATACAGGAAAATACCAAAAGAGAGACACATTAAGTCACATGTGTAAATGAATTCTATACTTTCTGGCAGACTTGATTTAGCACTCTAGTCTTATTCCTCACTATTGTCCCTTTCAGTCTCCCCTTAGGCAAGTTTGAACTAGTAGCTGTTTCTGTATATCTTTGTCAGGGTCTCTCCGACTTCTAAATATTTGCAAATGTTCTTGTCTAAGAAACGGCCCTTATGCCTTCCACTCCTAGTTGGCTTATAATAATTCATTTTTCTGGGCGCCTGGGTGGCTCAGTCGGTTAAGCGTCTGCCTTCGGCTCAGGTCATGGTCCCAGGGTCCTGGGATCGACCCCGCATCGGGCTCCCTGCTCTGTGGGAAGCCTGCTTCTCCCTCTCCTCCCCACTTGTGCTCTCTCACTAACTCTGTCTCTCTCTCTCAAATAAATAAAATCTAAAAAAAAAAAAAAAAAAAAATTAAAAAAAAATAATAATTCATTTTTCTAGTTTGAGCTGGGGTGTCAGTATCTTCTGCATTTCAATTATTTAACTCTCCTATACGCCTCCAGCCATCTCTGTAGTCCCTTTACTTTATGTATTGAATAATAATTTTTTTAATATCTCTGCCTTTCACAGTGGAAGTTTCTTTATAAAAGGGGCTAAACCTTTTTTTTTTTTAATTGAGATATGGATTTTTTTTCCCCTGGTATAGTTGACACACAATATTATATTAGTCTCAGGCTTACAACTTAGTGATTTGACAAGTTTATACATTAGGAGGGGTATGCCTTTTTTTTTCCCCTTTATGTCCCTTGTACCATAATATGCACTTAATAAAAATTATAGTTGATTTAAGGAATATAATATATTTGCATCATGAAGGTGAAATGTCTGTCTCTATACTGAAATCAATAATTTAAATAAAAACTTCTATTATATCAAATCAGCATGATATTAAAAATATATGGTGATGCTTTATTTCTAGTCTTCTGATATCTGTATTTATATAGCTAATACAGATTCATTTTTTATATAAATAATTATTAGCAAGCTCACCATCTAATAATAGCTATTTTTATGGTCTATTTTCTATTTGATTATAATACTCTTTTTATCTCATGTTAAATTTATTAATTCATAAATAGCCATCAGTCTTGCAGAAATGCAAAAGCCCCATGGAGAATTATCTTCCAAAACCTGTAGAGACTTTATTAAATCTTCTAATTGTATGTTACAGAAATTTATCAGAAACTTTCATTATTTTCTTCCTTCTATTACACTAAACAAAATATTTGGTCCTTAAGTATATACACCTAAGTCTATTAGAAACTTATATTTTACTCTCCACTTTTGAATATAGCATACAAGTGCATAAGTAACAAATAATTCAAATATGACATATTTGTTGTTGTGAAAATGCCTGCAAATGGAGGTAGCAATGAATTCCATTAGAAATGCCCTTTTTTTTTTTAATTTCTGAAATATTCTTGATGTAGGGTTTGTTTTGCCTTGATTAGGCTATTGGTTATTGAAGCTGTTTGAATTTTTTTGTTTATCATAAATTGAATTTTCTGAGTCTTATAATTCAGACCAATGAACCAGAGTTTAGCAGTCTTTCCCACTCCTATCTTCAGGATGGGAGCCCTTGAAAATAGAACTATGAGCAAAGCATAATGGAAGCATTTGCTGCCTTTCGTCCTTGCTTTTTGCATTAGTGCATAGTCTCTAATTCATGTGCAAATGTTCACATATCTAGAGATTTATAACAAAACTTGCTTTTCCAATACTTATTCCTCCAACCTATTTCAAAAACAGATAAATTTTTCTAAATAGCCCTTCAATGATAGCAAACTTTATTGCTTCCTTTGCTTATTACTACTTCTCCCTGCTCTTTTTCCTTAGCCCAATATAAGTCTAAATAAACACAACTTGTTACTTCTCATTTTAAATTGAGTTTGCAAAATGTGGCCGCATTTTCACTTATCCTTTTCATACAGTTAAAATCTTACCTCACCTGCATGACATCTTTCTGAATTACCTAATCTCCATTTCATTTTGGTCTGAATAGCAGCACTAGAAGTTTTGTTGATAAGGTTAAGTTAGAAGGTTTGAGACATTAATAATCCATAATTTTTTTTATATTTCAATAAGCCACATAAATATGTTTGCCTAAATTATGTATGAAGTTTGTTAACTCTGATTACATGCAAATCTCAGGCAGAATTAAGGGCAAGAGGGGATGGGCAGAGGAAGGAAGTGGAAGGGAAGGTAGAGGAGGGGAAAGGAGGAAAGTGTTCTTAGTGAGGTTTGTGATGACTACCATCCCTTCTTGGAAAAAAGATGAATTAAATCAGCTTTAATCATTAACATATTATGCAACTATTTTATTGAGCATTCAAATTTAAAGAAAACAAAAGAATTATCCTTTTTTAAAAAGTTGTATTAGTGGTCTTTATGTATTGACATATAGAATTTTCTGTAATTGTTTTTTTAACATTTAAATTCAGTTAATTAATATATAATGTATTATTGGTTTCAGAGGTACAGGCCTGTGACTCATCAGTCTTATATAATACCCAGTGCTCATTACATCACATGTCCTCCTTAATGTCCATCACCCAGTTACCCCATCCTTCCATTCCCCTCCCCTCCAGCAACCCTCAGAAAGCAAGTTAAGTAAAGCAGAATCTAGTAGAATCACATCAACTTACTTGGAAAATTTGTCAAGATTTCTAAATTATATTATTCTCATTAAAAATGGGTGATAATGGTAGTAAAAACCCCAAGATGAGGTATGATCATGTAAATACAGTATTTTAAGATGTGCCAGGCACACAGTAAACACACTGCATGGTAACTAAGCTCAAGATCCTCTTTTAAGTGACACATCTAGGAATGAGAATAGAAGTCCCCAACCAGAAGCTCAGTCAAATTAGTAGACCAGAATAAGTGCATTTGCATTTGAGATATGAAATCCCAAACTTCATGTATTACTTCCCTTACCTAGTTATGACAGAATTTGATTAAGTGTCAAATCTCATATAGATTCCTAAATGTGTAGATTTCAGGAGAGGATTAAGAAGAAAAAAATGAAATTAAAAAGAAACTAAATGAAATCCACTGAGTAGTATTATGTTCTGGTTTTAAAGGTAAATGTTCTAAAACTAGATCAATAAAATCCTATCAATTCAATTTACAAAACAAAAAACAGCCAACAAGAAACCCAGGATAAGCATTTGGTCTTGGATTTAAGCAATCCTGGCTCTCTAGTGTTCAACTGTAGTTCTACCTCAGTGGTTTCTGTACTAACAGATGCCAAAGGTGGAGTACTTATGACCAGAAAATTAAAGTTATGAATATTTAAGCTGATATGCAAAGCACCAACAGAGCAAAGTATACACACAGATAATCATGAATTGTACACTAATCAAATTTTAATAAGCGGGAGACATTAGTGTAGAAGCACAAGACTTACCAATGTGTTGTTTCCTTTTTTTTTTTTCATTTTGCAGGAAAAAGTCCAGCATTTACAGAAGGCTTTTGCTTCCAGAGTAGATAAATCCACACAGACTGAACTTCTAGGCTATGATGTAAGTAGCTATATAAAATCATTTTTATTTTCTTTATTGGTATTCAGACCTCCACAGCTTATTTACCTCTGTTGCTGTGTCCATGCATTGATTTAATAGGATTTAGTGGCTCGCCATTCATCTTTTGCTCTTAAATAATCTCCAAATACCTTCTGGAAGTGAAAAAGATAATTACAGGCACCAACTAGCATACCAATGTCTTATTATTTTTTTTTTAAGCTAACATCCCTCATATAGTCTTTTGAATTAGTGAATTTGCAGACATGTGGAAGATACATATTAGAATACTAGGACAATTTATTTTTAGGAAAGTACTAATTTAATTATTAACGGTTTAATAAAGTTGTGTTCACAGTCACCAATGGCCAGGCACATCATTTTTACATTCTGCTACATAAAAGGAAAAACAACTTTGCAGAGAAATTTACAATACTATTTTAGCTTTTGGGCTTCAGTGCAAGCTGCAGAAAGTAATTTAATTGAAAGTTAGCATTTTTTTCTTAGTGTGAAATACTTGTTGAATTGTCAAAATAGGATTGTAAAACGTGTTGATACAAGATTGCTTCTAATAACACTGGATGATTTTGGATAACTTTGATTTAAATTCCTATCTTTTCTTAAATGAAGCTATAAGATTTTCACTTTGCCTAAGTTGATGACTTTAAACTTCCTTTTAGTGAAAATATAAAGGAATTATCTTCTTTATCCTGCATCTAACATTTGTTAGAACTCCCTCTTCTCTTTAAAAACATTAATATTATTTTTAGCATTTTATTGACAAGTAAGATTAGAAGAGATGCTTTTAAGGTGTTTCATGAAGGTGTATAATAATAAAATGTAAGTTTGTCTGCATGTCCTCATTATATTAAATAACATAAATATGAATGTTATTTTTGTGTTGCCTTGCAAATTATGTTGTTATATTTAACTAAATGCTACTTGTCTCTATTAGGAAGTAAACTAAAGTTTTGAATTCCAGCACAAATTGTTTTCAGCTACTTATATATGTTCTTTTTAAATTTAAAAACATTAAAAGCTATGCTTTTCTTTTGAATTTTTCTGTTACATTCATTTTAAGATATGTTTATTATAGACACCTAAATATTCTAGATATGAATATTGTGACTACAGTACTTCTTGCCTGAATACCAGTGTTATATATGATTTAAATGGTGGTAATATTTCCTATTTTAAAATAGAAATGGTTTCTAAGTTCAAGCAGGATTTACCACACGTATTTTAATTTTATCTCTTTTGAAGGAGGTTTTTTTTTCCCCATTTAAAGTTTTTTGATATGTATTATTTGTATATTAGTACCTAGGTTATAAACTCAGTATGTATTTTACAAATAATAACCTATATCTTTTTAAATCTGCAAGCCATTTGTCCAATAAGACTAATAAATTGTTTCCATTAAATCATATTCAAACATAATATAATTATAAGTTAACTTATTCACTACCACATGGTCTTTGTGGAAGTCTAGTTATTAAAAGTAATGTATTCTTCAACAAGGAAAGAGGAAAACACGTATGTATTGGGACTCAAATATTCCACTTTACTCAATAAGGAAATGATGTTTGGGAGACTCAGTTCCAAATTTCTAAAGGACTGAATATAAAGATAGAATGTGAGATCTATAGCAGTATTAGTGACTGCAAGTGAGAAACAGTTGCTAAGAGATGAATGGTTCCGGTGGGGGAGATAATTAAATTGTGTCTTGTTTATTTGCCTCTCTATGCCCCATCATGTTCTTGTTTCTATGAGGTTTGTTATATCAATATTACAATTTCTCTAAACATTTAAATAAAAATTTAAAATAGAGCCATGAACATAGGTAATCCTTATTAAATCTTCATTGTTCCTAGCTTCTTTTCATATCTGACAGTGAAAATTTATTGTATTTTACTGGGTTGAATTAAGGCTAAGAATAATAATTTCTGGTATTGAGTCCTTTCAGGATCCCTTTGTATAAGTGTTTGGTATGACTTAGGTAGTCATTAGCATACATTAATAATCTGTTCTAAAGATTTCATATTTTACATTTCCTGGTGGTAGATTCTAGGATATAATCATCAGAATCAGAAAGGAATTACCAAAGATATGCATATAGAACCTCATGGCACTAACTGGATGTTACTGTCATAATAGACTTTGGGGCATTTTGTATGGAAAACACTGGGGAGGGAAATATTTTTAAAAAGCAAATTAGAAATAGGTAAAGCATTTTAAATGTGATAAATTGTGGCTATTGGGAATATATGACTTATCAACAATGTATTTTTATTTTCTATGACTGGGATATATTTTCTATACTTTTCAATATCTAGTCATAAATTTTTCACTTTTTCATATGCGATAAGAATAATTGATTATCCTTTGACTTATAACCTTTGCTCACATTTTTATCAGGAAATAGTCTGACATTTTGTTTTTTCATAAATATGTATTCACATATATACTATAGCTACTTAACGATTTGCAATAGTATTTGTCAGAGAAAATATGAAAAATCTTGTAGAAATCTTGTACATTATGAATGATACTTATACTCTCTTGCTTGCTTTCTAAAGCTGTCAATATTAGCCACAAATTGTTCTTTACAGATCAGTATGGATCATGTTTCAGTGATATGAATGTCAGAATAGGAGAGACTCCCAGTATCTGCTAATATAATATTCTTGGGAAGATAGTTGTTACTACACATTTTGCTTAAAATAGGAGATAGAATCCTTGAAAGATGTGAATTATAATGAAAACCATTAAAAGAAATTTCTGAAAATCCTCTACAGTGAATAAGTTCAAAGATTCATATAATAAACTACTTCTATCTTGTAATAGATTTATCAGGAGACTTGAAACTAATGCTAGTGTACAGCGTGTTTTGATTTCTAATGCATAGGACAAAGATGATTTAAAAATAAATTCAGAGTGTCTCAGGAAAGGCCTATATACACAATAGTTCTTGTGATGATGAAGGAGATTGTTAAATAATTGATGAATGTATCTTCAGTAATCAATGCCAGTTTAACCGCTTTCACCTTCCTCTGTCTACACTGACTTAGTTTATTGGAAGATCAAAAATAATTTCTTAGGTGTCACTTGTGTTATTAAAACAGGATAGAAGATGAATATAGCCAAGTAACAATGTTGCCAATTGCAAGATTATACTAAGAGGTCGAGATTTTTCTGATTACATTAATTATATAAAGAAATGCTTCAGCACAGAACGTAAGCTATCTGTAAATATTTTATAGTTTGAACTCATGCAAATAACATTTTGGTTTAAATAATTGGGAAGGAATAGCCAAAATGCAGTGAAGATTTTATATTCTAACACGGCAAAAATTCAGGTACTTTTTTTTAATTTGGCATCTATATGGAGAGGTTTTTTTTTTTTTTAACTTCCTTTTGGTGTTCTACAGAAGGTTATCTTTTTAAATGTAGTTGATTTACTTTAAGTATAAATTTTCTTTTCAATTAGTGCCTGAACTTAAACAATCGGAGTCTCTAGAGGAGTCTACCTTTAATCAGCATGTATTTTTTTTATATTTTATACTTATATTTAATAAGTGTTAGTCTTGAACTTGCAATTTTTTGTTCATATTTAAGAGTTTTGACATTATCAAGTATTTCATCAAATTTATTAATTACTGTTAGTCTTAATATCATTAATGGTTTTCATTTGGCTACTTAAAACTGAATTGTGGCATCACACATATTTTGTCTGAGTCATGGGTGAGTGAAGCATAACTCAGTTTAGAAAAGTATGATCATACCACTATGTATTTTTCAAACATTTTAATAACATAGTCTCTAAATAATGGGATTTGCTTTATAAATGAAGTTTTCTACTTATATGCTAGGGAAATAATACTAGTTGCATTATGAATACACATTTTGAAGGAAAAACTCAATGCAGTTGTCTGTGTATTCTCAACCTACTTTTCTTTTTTTTTTAAAGATTTTATTTATTTATTTGAGAGAGCGAGAATGAGAGAGAGTACATGAGAGGCGGGAGGGTCAGAGGGAGAAGCAGGCTCCTAGCTGAGCAGGGAGCCCGATGCGGGACTCGATCCCGGGACTCCAGGATCATGACCTGAGCCGAAGGCAGTTGTTTAACCAACTGAGCCACCCAGGCGCCCTATACTACTTTTCTTAGATTTAATTTTGGAGGCCCTCCTAATATAGTTAATAGTGTAAGGAAATTCTAACAAATATGAGAATAGTTCATCATGTAAAGAGTAAGAATGATTAGGGGAATTTTTTTTTTTTTAAAGATTTTATTTGAGAGAGAGAGACAGAGCACGAGTGGGGAGGTGAGGGAGAAGCAGACTCACCACTGAGCAGGGTCCTGGGATCATGACAGCTGAAGGCAGATTCTTAACTGATTGAGCCACCCAGGTGCCCCAAGAATTATTAGTTTTACCGTAATAGTTTTATTAACTGTTATATAGAGCAAGAGAGTATTTTGTGTTATGCAACTATATTATGTCAGCCTATGGATTAAGCCTAATTGTAAGAATTGAATAATTATCAATTAAGCTTTCTAGTTCAGTCGCTAATAATCCATAGTTTGTTAAAGCTATCTATTTTTGATCCATCCATTGCTGTTGTTTTTCATAACTTCAGTGCTTCTGATCATGTCAGGGTGCCCCAGCATTTAGCAGATGAGTGCCTTCTCCCCATATACTTCATTTATATTTACTTATATCAAGTATTTCTGTTTGTTTTTATAAATTTAAATAAAATCAAGTTTAAAAACTGATATATTCCAATTTTTCTTTTGAACTACAGTTTTTCATATTACATTAAGGATAAGTTTCAGACAAAATCATCGGTTAAAAACACAAGATATATGATCAGCTGCTGTAGGTACTTACTAATACTTAGTGGAAGAATCACAGCTTATCCCGTGGTGAAGTTTTAAGGTCATCACTTTTGAAAATCCATACATGCATTTATTCAACAAATACTAAATGCCCCATGGAAGCCAGGCT